TTGAAAATAATTAGTTTTTTCTTAGTTTTGGCTAGTGAATTTTTCTTGCGTCTTGAAAAGAGTCAGTCATGTGTGCAGTTCGATTTTTATCAGCAAATGCAAGGTGTGCAATTGTGGTTATGAAGCAGTGAGCATTTCGATATTTTCGGATTCATTCTGAGAGGGCACTGAATAATTAATTGTTGTTGTATTACTTGAATAGTCCATAAAGTAGCAAAATGGTATGTTTGCTGAGTGCTTCTTTATTACGATCACTTCCTTTCTAATTTTTTCTTTCGGAAAATCCCACGATTGTCGTATATGTATATACTTAACCTAACCCATATAAAACCGCTTAACGGTCTTCTAGTGCAATAAAGCTTTTTTGCAGTAAAACAAAGGATTAGAGATCTCGATGAGACTTAAATTTGGCATCAGAATTGCTTGTTTCTTTATCTCTAAGCCTTTATTCAGAAGCCTTGGAATGATCGATTTTTTTTTTTAGCTTTTAGTAAGGCTTATTCGTTGGGCTTATAGTAATTCTATAAAAATTCTGAAAGTTTTTTAATAACTCCCAATGTCTTTATGTACAACTTTTTATTTAATCTATTATTTACAAAAGGTAAAGTAGTTATGTAGTTTGGTTCCGTTTTTAGCGTTTCCGATTTCCTCCTGTTGGTAAGATAGTGCTCTGGTCTCATTTCACCAACCATGTATCTACTCAAGACATAAACCAAACAGTTGCAGTAAATACTGTACAGTGCCTTTCAAACTGTTTTAAAAATTGTAATATATACATATACATATCTCTTTAATATGTTTATTATAATAGCATATGCTATATTTATTTATACATAGAGTGTATCTTACACTACACTATCCGGCAATGAACTGGCGGACGAGCTCGCCCGCTCCGCAGCTTCAACCCTGATGGTAGGACCGGAACCCTTTACCGGTGTGGGACCCCATACCATAAAGGAGCTGCTACGTAAAGAGGAAAGAGCAGGCAGGGAGGAGCATTGGCTACAAGCTCATGGTATGAGACACGCCGAGCTGCTAATGGGAGGATACAACCTGAAAAGGTTCAAAATTGTAATAAACCTCCCGAGGAACAAACTCAGGCTGCTGGTCGCATGGTGCACTGGTCACTGCTAAATAGGCATCTGCACAGTATGGGCTTGACTGCCCTGCTGTCTGTAGACGCAGATCAAAAGCCCTTGGAGTGTTGTTTCCGGATAGGAATCGAATTGCCTCGCTAGCGCCAAGTAGTCTACTGGACTTCATTAATGGGCTGTGTCTAGGAGAGTCAATGTGAGTAAGGAGAGGCCACAATAAACCAAAGGTCGCAGTACATTCCTCATCATCATTTATTCATCTTACACTCATAGAAAATTATAATAATATTCATTTATTCCGAATTTTTACACTTTTTTTTATTATTTCTCCGTTTGATCCGAGAATGACACTTTTTACGTTGACAACAATTTCAATCCGTTCCTTTATTTATTTGCGTTTCACGGAAATGACGTCATAAAAGTATAAAAAGTGATTCCTTCGAGATGATTTTTTAAAGCTTTCGTTGTTTTTCACATATTTTAATATTATTTTAATAGTTTCACTGGAACTTTTTCTAATACTAATAAATAAACTTCAGTTGAGTTGAGTTTCAATTTTTTTTTCTGTTAACTTCTACGCTATTTCATTCTTTATCTCACATTCTTAGCTCTATATTCTTGTAGAGGGATTCTGTAACCAGTCTCTAGTCGCTGTTTGAGACATTTTGAGGTAAAATCTCAATTTGTGACTAGTTACTATTCACTGGTAGTTAGCAGGTCACAAAACTAAAAAGAGCCATTTTCAATATACTGAATTGAGATCGTCATAGATATTAATCGATTGTCGGGTTTTTATATTTTGTAATCAACTGAAACACGAAAAAGTTAAAAATAAATAAATTTTACGTAAATATTATGAAAAAAGGTCAACATATATTTTTATTTTTATTGATAATTATGTTATAAAAAATTTAATATTTGTTATCGACATATTTATTTCCATTCAAATGTAAAACATCTCTGAATAACGAAATGTTATAGATTTTGTGACGGTCACTTACAGAATAGCAAAATCGTCTCAAAAATTGTCTCTAACTTAAAGTTTTGAGTCTGTATCACAGTACAGAATCGCACGGTTGGTTTGATAATGCGACAATCTTGTCTATCTCGTCAAATCTATTTGTTTATCTATATTTTACATAGATTTTAATATATTATTTATAATTACTTCTCAACTTCATTAGTAAAATCTACGTGCTGTTGTCTACAACTGTGTTAATATTACTTTTATTAAATAACCGAATACCTAGTATATTAGTTAATCACCAGACTTATGGATATTGTTACTGTTTGCGTGTACTTGGCAATCCGGTGGTTGACATTTCGCAACAGCTGGCAGAGAACGTGTATTATAGAGAAGGTGCAACCAAAGAAAATTAAGATATGTTTATACATTCTCTCGTCCAACTGCGGACAAGCGTGTGAACTGTCAAAATCTATGAATTTTCTATTAGTGGATTTCACCACTTTGGGCTCGGCAGGAGAAATTTTAACAGAAATGAGTGAACAGACCTGAGAATTGAATGAAAATTCAGAAATATACATTGCTATTACAGACGTATGTTGGCTTTTTGGCTTATATTTTTATACGCTAAAATGCTATCTATATTTTACATTGTAATACATTATTTATATTTACCTATCAACTGCAGGACCAAAATGTACATGTATAGATATTAACTGTATTAATTATTGTTTTTGTTAAGTAATCGACTACCTCTGCAGCTGGTAGCAATTTTATGTGAAAAATTGAAAAACTTTCCAACACTTCAAATTTTCAATATACGCTAAACACTGGCAATAAATTGTATATAATATTTTGCCGTGCGGTACTGTATTGTGACACAGGTTAGAGACAACTTTTGAGACGAACGTCAGAAAATCTATAACATTTCATTATTCAGAGATGTTTTTATACTTGAATGAAAAGAAATATGTCGATAACAAATATTAAATTTTTCCGTGTCTGAGTTGCTGACAAATTACAAAAAAATGACAATCGATTAATATCTATGACGATATCTATTCAGTATATTCAAAATGGCAGACAAATGTTATTTTTGGTTTTGTGACCCTCTAACTACCAGGTCTCAAATTTGAGGCAATATTTTGAGACTAACGCTAGAGACTGTTTAGTGGATAGTAACTAGTCAGATATTGAGATATTACCTCAAAATGTCTCAAATAGAGACTGGTTACAGATCCCGCTATTAATCTTTAAACGGTGCGAGCACTACCAAAATACAAATCTAATTTCTGTAAATTGGTTTTTGTTAAAAAGAAAGAGTTTAATAAACCCTGAAAATAAGTATTTTTCTTAATCGGGTGATTGTTTGGATTATAGAGTTTTTAAAAACTATGCAACACTGCACTACGAATGTCAAGTAAGAGACATAGACAGCGAGGAATTGTAACAAGCAGTCACGCAGAGAAAATACCAAAAACGGCGATGTAGCGCTGAAGTGATGAAAATGCACGAGACGTAGACGAGACAACGACGACAGCGCGACGACGTTCAAATCAATCGAAAGAGAAAATTATTATTTGACTAACGCTACTGATAAAGTGGTTAAAAATCGGGAAAAACGTGAGTGCAAAAATTTCTAAAACAAGCATATTGGAAAGTGCAGAAAATTCGTTTCGGGTTTTGTAGACGTGTAAAATTTCATTGCTGTCTTGTTGCGGCAGGTGCGCTGAAAGTCGCGAGTTGCGCCGTCGTCGAAATCGAAACCAAAAACGTCGATACAAAGCATCGAAATATTTCGTGTGGAAAATAACCCCACAGAAATATAAATTAAATCAATTTTGGGTTTATGTGCTTAGGTGAGACTGCGCTCGTGTATAGACAAGAGTTCTTTTTCTTCGATTGCACATAAGTGTGATAATGCCCACATATTAAAATATATATGTATAAGGCATATAATGTAAAGTAGTACGAAAATTGCAACAGTTTCGCCACAGGCAGCAACAGCGCCAACACGCAGCGCCCCACACCTTTTCACCCACCCTCATCTTTTTCTGTTCATTTTTCACATTCAGAGCCGTCGTTAATGACGTCGACGGCAGCGTTACGTAGTGTTGTTGGCAGAATACGACGAAGTGACGTGCGGATTTTTTGCACTTTTTTTTTTTGCGTTACCTTTTCTTTTTGCTTTACCTTTTCTTTTACATTCTTTGAAAAGTGGTTAACATATGCCGCATACTTGCGGGGGTGGATTTGGCGACAGCTGAGTAGCAATGTTGTCTGCAGCGCTGTTGCTGTGCTGAGTTGAACGTTGACGTTAGCTGAAATTGTAACGGCGTGGCAAACATGGTGTTGCTTCATTTTTTATTTGGGAAAGCCGGAGGAATGTGCATGTGAAAGCCTAAAACTCGAAGCATATGTCTTTTTATTTTAGTGTGTGAAAGAGAATATAATGATAAAAAGAATTGTATAAGTAGGAAAGAATGATTATGTATTAAAGTTAGATGAGTGATTGCTAAGTTTAGCATTCGAGTAAAGCTGAAGATGTGTGAAATAGTAAAAAAAAGAAATACGAGCCCAGTTCCTTAGAAAGCTAACACGCTACTAACTACTTGCACTTAAATGAGCTGAGTAGGTGAAATATAAAAGTTATTGTGAAGTGAACAGCATTGTAGTAATGAGTGCATTAGACCTAAAATTAATCAGAATAATTGTGATACATTTGAATATGACCGAAAACAACTAATTTTATAATAATCCCGGTTTTTATGTGTTCAAATTTTGAAATTTCTTGTTTCAGATTAAAATTATCAAATTATAAAATATGTGTGCTAAGTGTAGAGCATATTGTTCCTTATTGAGAATGTAGTGGTGCTGGGCGCCTCTCCGCCTGGAAGTGCAATTAACATTTGAATTTTCAATTTAAGTGTAAATAATCTATTTTTTATACGTGTACGTGTGTGTGCAATTCCATATTGCACCGAAAAGCAAAAAAATTCCGAAGTCATCGGGTACCACAACGTTACAACGTCTCAAGGCCAAGGCTGCAGGTGGTAGCGTAAAACGCAGTCGAACAAGCAACGCAGCGGCTGGGACGACAGTAACACCTAGTAATAGGGGAAGTAGTGGGATTGGAGGAAGTGCCCGTGCAGCGGGTGGTCGTAAATTTACTGCAAACAGTATAACTCAATTGCAACGAAGTGGCGGCGGTGCTGGTCAGTGGTCAGCAGGGACGGCGGCGACGACGGCTGGAGCGGGTGCTAGCACCGGAGTCAGTTCCTTTACATCGGCATCCGATTCATCTTTGCTGGCTGAAAGAGAATCGGCATATTTGCACGGTTTTCAATCACCAAACTATAACACCACCAAATCATATCAGCAACAACAAAACCAGTCCACTTACAACAATTCCCTCTATAACACCAATAATAACGCCAGTGCCAATTATTCAAATCACTCAAATTACGCAAATACATCATTGTCATCTCCACACACAACGACAACGCCTCATAACAAGCTCCCAACCGCAGCTGTTGGTTCAACGGCGATGATGATGACCAAACATAAAAGCTCGCTCGCAGAGCGCCTTAACATTGGAGACGAGGTGCGCGATTTAAAGCTTGGCTGCACATACAATCCAAAAAATACAACGACGGCCTTTCACACTATTAAATGTAAGTATAAGACCGTATTTCACTTTTTAGATATCGGTTTACTTAAAAAAAAACTATACCATCCAATTGATAAAAAAAAAAAATAACATATACTCTCTACATTTAACAGATGACTTCAAGCCAGCAAGTGTGGACAAAAGTAAAGTAGCTTTAGTGGACGTCGGCTCCAATAATCAAGTTACCGTTACCGTGCCAAATTTAGGTGAGTACCGAAAAACATATGTAAATAGTACTAGCAAATTTGATTTATAAAATAAGTGAAAAAATAATAAAAATGCATGTATAAGTACTAAACAACCGCTGATTTGTTTGGAAACGCACTTCTTAATTGCTGACATTACCCAAGCAATGTCATTTTTAGATGCCTATTGCATATATGTATGTATTTACATATATTATATGAAATTGTTTTGAGTACTTTTTCAAGACAATGTGAATTTGAATTATTCAATCTTTTTTATATCTTTGAATCACGACCACACGAGCCGTCAATTTTTTTGCACCATAAAAATATATTGAATGACAATTGAAACTTATTTTGACAGTGATAACGTTAACTTTAATTAAAAAAATGTATGTTTATAATATTTTTCTATATATTTATAATACACTCATATTTTTGCTGATATCAAGAGAAATATTTTTTTAGAACTGCTGAGAAGACAATATTTTCTTTAAGTGAATAGTGTTTCTGTAAGTATTTTGACATGATAAAAGAGGCTTAAAAGGTCCTCAGTTTTCTAATTGTACATTTAGTTATATCTTAATGTCAACTTAAACTTGTCCTTTGAACTTAAAAAATTAATTTCTGGCGAGGTATCGCTGTCATTCACTACTATTCACATATTTTTTATTAATTTATGTACATACATCAAGAAGTCTTTGGTATAAAGGCTATAAAAACGGAACTATTATGTATAGCCATTTTGTGCCTTATATTGAAGTTGTGCTTGAGATAATGTATTGTCTGTACAAATATCAAGTATCGATCTATTAGAAAGCCCTGTACATGCGATAAAGTGGATTGTGCATGTTGATAATATTTTATACATAGTATCTCATGTATTCGAGTGCGCAATCTCACAATTTAGAATAATTTTCATGCTTTTCTACAATGTCAAAAAACTTTTGTTGCTAATATTCAAAAATTTGTTAACTATTTTGAATAGGATGTAGTGGTTTTATTTTAAATAATACAATTGAAAACAATTTGTTGAAAAATAACATCCATTTGTTTTCAATAATCGTTTGTTGGCCGCGCTCTGCTCAACTTTATTCAGGTGAATGCGTTTGCAAGCACTTTTGTTTAACATACATACATACGTGCAACTATACGTTCGTACGTGCCTGAGTATAGAAGCGAACAACTGGCTTTACTCCTGTCTCTTATACACATCTAGATGTGTATAAGAGACAGACTTTATTCAGGTGAATGCGTTTGCAAGCACTTTTGTTTAACATACATACATACGTGCAACTATACGTTCGTACGTGCCTGAGTATAGAAGCGAACAACTGGCTTTACTCTGCCCCCCTCTGCTCTAGCAGTCGCTGCTGACACTTGGCTGATAATCAGCTGACTTGTTACCCTGTAATGTCAGACTGATTGACATTGATTGTTTGCAACATATTCTGTATTTTACAATTTTCAGTTGTCAATTTTAATATTATTGTTTTGATAGAGAAACATAAATTGAGTGGGAGTTTAAAATACAGTGTTGTTGGACAAAGTTGGGTCAAGCTTGTGATATTATTGTGTTATTTTGGTATGATTGTGATAAAAATATGCCAAATTGGAATACTGAAGATTCATAAGAAGTGTATAATTTAATATAATTGTGGCTTATCATAAGCAAAGTTCCGTACAATATTTTTTTTTACCTAATCTTAAAAGTTATTAATGTGAAACCTCCGTTTTAAACATTTTTGCATACCTAAATATGTATGTGCATATTATTCAATATATTTCCGCTTTTAATTGCTTTCTGATTTATAAACTATTATTGCATTATAAATAGAATGTATGTACTTTGTATTGGCACTCCTTGCCTTCTGATACAAAACAATGAATAAAGTACATAGTTGCCTAATAATTAGACCCAGATTGAATGATCAAATGAAAAGTAGCTGCATTTAATGTGGAAAAAAAAAATAAACTCATCAGAACTTGAAACAAGTTCATTAAAAAAACATAATCACCAACTCTGCTGGTTGGCAGAATGTAATGAATGCCGAGCTGAAAGCAATCAAAGAGAGGTTGTGAATGTGGAGCGCTTGAAAGTGCACCACACTAAGCTTCTTCTACAACTAGTTCATCATATGTGCATACATATGTACACATGTCCGTATAAATGTGTATATGTAGTTTACTTGTTTCAGTCCACTGACTGGCTTATGGAAAGCAGAATTGAATCGATGGACGGTCTAACTTGTCGGCTTACAAACATCGGCACATAACAGCCGACTGCTGTGATTTTAAGTGAAATTGTAGTAATGTTCTTGCAAACATCTCCACCTGTGCGCACACGCTAATAAATCCACACTTACATATATACATATGTATGTATGTTTCTGTAGTGAAACCTTTTATGAATCACTTCAAATATTTTCATGTGTGTGGTCCAAGCAAGCAAATAATCATTTTGTCTGCTTGTTTTTTGATAAAATTTTTTTACTTTTCCATGTTTTTCTTTAAATTTAAAAATTCTATTCTTTCTTGCCCTGCAGCAATCACTTATAGTTTGCGCTAAATCTGTTTTTTTTGTGTTCTTCCCCCTCCTTTTTTTGCCTTTTGTATTGGCAACAATTACCGGCGTCCGGACGATTAGCAGCTAACAGTTGTTGGCTGCCCATTACAGTCTTGCCTTCCGCACACACCAACCAATTTGTCTTTCTGTTGCTTAGTGGTTTTCTCATTTCAACGTCATATTTTGTTTGGTATGCCAACTATTTGCGACTAGTAACGGAAATAAGCTACCGCATATGTATATATTAACATACATATGTTACTAGTAACTAGCGTTTGGCCAAGCTGCGCCTCTAGCTGGTACTAATAGCGCTGCAAATATATTATTAACTATACCAGCTGTGCCTATAACCGCTGCTGTCTTAAACTTTAGTATAGTCAACTAACCCTAAAGTCTAACTTGCGCAACCATTGCCAAGTTTTATACAAAAAAACATTACTTGGTTTATTTAATTTGTTGTTTTGTTCACTTAACCTGCATAGAATTTATTTATTTATTGCTTCACTGCTGGTCTTTCCAGCACCACATTTACCACCATACATTTGTACGTACATTCGTACTCATGTATCTGTGCTGCAACTTAACTATGCTACATTAATGGCATTCACTGTGAATGCCTTACTATATGCATGGTTAGTTTACTATCTCATTTAAATTTTTTTCTTCTTTTTTTCGGGTTATTTTCTAGTGCTCCAAATTCATCGTTGCCTTCAATTTAGGTTACCCACATTTATGCCGTTTTTATTTGCCTATAATATGTACTGTCAAAAGCAAATATTTATGAAAATGTATTTTTATGTCTCCACATGCTATTAATAACATTTTATTAAATTTCTTTTTGTGTTATCGCTTTGTGTCAGTTGGCATACTATTTAATAAAAACCTTGAATTACGCTTGTCTTCTGAAAAATGTATAAAAATTCTTTCAATCTAATTTTTCTGTTCAAATTAATATTCTAAATTATTTAAAAAAAAAAATCTTAGAGAACTGATGTTTATTAAATGCAGTTTTTTATTCCCTGATTATGGCTTAGTAAGTTTGTCACGCAGTTTGTAACATGTGAAAAGAAGCCTGTAAGACCCTATAGAATATTCTGCCGTTACAACAACAACAACCCTATAGAATGTATATACATACATGATGTATGTTTAAATGATCAGCATGTATGTTTAAATGATCAGCATGGCGAACTAAGTCACTTTAATCATGTCCGTCTGTCTGTCCATTTATACTAGTCCCACAATTTTTGAGATATCGATCTGAAATTTTGCACAAGTCTTTTTGTTTTACAAAAAACTGTTAATTTGTCGGCGCTACCGATATCGGAAAATGTTTATATTTTACGAGATATCTTCACGAAGTTTGACATGGATTGTTTTGTAAGGCAATGGTACAATCTTCGGAAATTTTTTTCAGATTCGATCACTATAGCATATATGTAGCTGCCATGCGAACTGAGCGATCAAACTCAAGTCCTTGTATGGATTTTTTTTTATTTGACAAGCTAACTTCACGAAAGTGGTCTAAGATTATTATCAAACGAATTGCTTAGATCGGAATCTATAGCAAAAAGCTGGCATGTAAACTAAGCGATTGACTCAGGATAAAGATTTATTTATTCCCATTTATGCTATTAGAAATGAGAAGGGTTATTGCTTCAGTGCAGCCAAACATAATGTTTATTTCTATATTTAAGAATTTAGCTTAATTTTAGCTTTTTTTTTTGTAGCTTTAACAGCTTTGATCCAAGGTTATCCTTTGAAAGTAATCTAAATGGCAACGTCAATGTCAGCAAATCAGCTGATCTTTCCAACCTTACGTCAAATTGATTCGTGGCACCGCCAGTTTTATTTAAATCCACTCGTCTGCTCAATGCGCTTACTTTTACTTACAAATTTATACTCGAAAGCTTTTTTTCCTGGTGTGTGTAAAATGAAATGCCTATTGTGGCTTATCATAAACAAACACTTGGCAACTTAAATACTTTATTATTATATATACATACATACATATTTATATATTTTTTGCCTTATCATTTGCGATAAGTATTTTGTGCTCAACTTTTATATAATTTCTTGTATGATGAAGAGTCCAAATAATTATTATTTATTATTTTTGAGTATAAACAATATTTTTTTATTACTTTTCTGTTTTAAATATTTATTGATATAAATAGATTTGTTGTATGCTTCGCTTATCTGATTAAATGAGCACGTGAGTTGTTTAATACTGATGGGTAATTTGCTAAGCTGCTTAAGGGGTTAGGGGTAGTCAGAGGCATGAAAAAATGAGAAAATCGAAATTTTTGAAAAAAAAAAATCCTTCGATCAGGCCCGAGTTTATTATGTATTCTAAAAGCTGTATACATTTCAATAAAATCTACTGAGCGGTTTTCGAGTTACAGTTGTAACCAGCTCATAAAAGGTAGTTTTGAGAAGAACGCTTAAATGTGTT